CCGCGCTGGTGAGCAGTGCGGTGGCCCGCACTCCACCCAGCGCTGCTTCGGCCGCCTGACGGACGCGTGGCGTCACCAGTTCCTTGACGCCACTGAGATCCCTCGCTGGGGAGAGCTGTCTAGGGCGGGGGTTGCTATCTTTGATCTTGATTATGATGCTATTCTTGCTGCCATGTATGCTGTGTCTACTAGTGATGAGGGTGACTGTTACCTGTGTGTTCCGCCTGACCCGGGCATTGAGGCTGCTGCTCTCGGTGCTGGTGAGGCTGCTGCTCTAGGTGCTAGTGCGTCTGCTGCCCCAGGTGCTGGTGAGTCTGCTCTCTCAGGTACCACGTCGGCTCAGGCCTTACACACCTTCACCCTTGACTCGGGTGCTTCCCGCTCCTTCTTTCGAGACCGCACCACGCTTACGCCGCTTAGTCGGCCGGTTGCGGTCTCCCTGGCGGACCCCTCTGGGGGTCCTGTCCTTGCTAGCTTCTCCACTGTCTTACCGTGCCCGGCAGCCCCCTCTGGCACCCTGTCAGGTCTCTACCTCCCCTCGTTCTCTACGAACTTGGTGAGTGGAGCTGATCTACAGGATAGGGGGGTTGACCAGTTCACTCCTGCGAGTCAGCGGGTGACCCACTGCACGTGTGCTCGGACGGGCCGACACTTGGCCACGTTTACTCATCGGCCGGGGTCGAGCCTGTACACACTGACTACTGAGTCTCCTCCGGTTGCTGAGTCTGGTCAGGTAGCTGCGTCGAGTCAGGTGTTTGCTGCAGCGTCCAGGTCTGGTCCTGAGTCTGCGCCCTGCTCGTGTCGTCTCCTGTCCCACCAGACTCTCCTCTGGCACCACCGCCTTGGTCACCCCTCCCTGCCTCGTCTCCGAGGCATGGCCTCCCGTGTCCTTGTCTCTGGTCTCCCCCGGTCCCTTCCTCCCCTACCTCCGGGGCCTGCCCCTACCTGCGTCCTCTGCGTCGAGGGGCGACAGCGCGTCGCCCCTCACTCCTCCGAGTTTCCTCTGACAGAGGCTCCGCTGCAGACTCTTCACATGGACGTGTGGGGCCCCGCCCGCGTCCGTGGCCAGGGTCACGAGCGTTACTTCCTGTTGGTGGTTGACGACTACTCGCGTTACACCACGGTGTTCCCCTTGCGCAGCAAGGGTGACGTCGCTGAGGTGTTGATCGACTGGATCCGCGCAGCTCGTCTCCAGCTCAGAGAGAGTTTCGGCTCGGACTTTCCTGTTCTGCGTCTGCACTCTTACAGAGGCGGGGAGTTTTCCTCTGCCCGTCTGGGAGCCTTCTGTCGTGCACAGGGCATCCGCCAGACCTTCACGCTTCCGGCCTCTCCGCAGCAAAATGGGATTGCTGAGCGCCGCATTGGCATGGTCATGGACGTCGCTCGTACGTCCATGATCCATGCGGCTGCCCCCCATTTTCTGTGGCTGTTTGCGGTTCAGTACGCAGCGCATCAGCTCAACCTTCAGCCCCGGGTCTCCTTGCCAGAGACCTCCCCCACCTTGCGGTGGACGGGGAAGGTTGGCGATGCGTCTGCGTTTCGGGTCTGGGGATCTCGGGCGTTTGTTCGCGACTTGTCTGCGGACAAGCTGTCCCCCCGTGCTGTTCCCTGCGTCTTCCTTGGCTTCCCCCCTGACGCGCCTGGGTGGCAGTTTTACCACCCCACCTCGCGCCGTGTTCTGTCCTCCCAGGACGTCACCTTTGACGAGTCGGTGCCTTACTACCGTCTCTTCCCCTACCGCACTGCGCCCCTCCCCCCGCCGCCGCTCTTCCTTGCGCCAGGTCCTCCCCCGGTAGACCCTCTCCCCCCTCAGGGTCCTGCCCCGTCAGGTGTGTCCCAGGTAGACGCAGTCGAGCCTGTCGAGGTAGCTGTTGACTCTGGTGCTGCTAGAGGTGCTGCGCCCGCGGGTGCCGGGTCTGGAGGTGCTGAGCCTGGGAGTGCGGAGCTTGGGGGTGCTGAGTCCAGGGGTGCGGAGCCTGGGGGTGCGGAGCCTGGGGGTGCTGAGCCTGGGGTGCTGAGTCTGGGGGTGCTGAGCCTGGGGGTGCTGAGCCTTGGGGTGCGGAGCCTGGGGGTGCTGGGTCTGCTCGTGTGGCCTTTCGCGGTACTTCGTCGAGGCGGGAGCTACTCTCTCCGCAGGAGCTGCGCGAGTGGTTTGCCCGGCGCTGGAGCCGTGCTGCTGGAGCTGGAGGTACTACTGTTGCTGCTGGTCCCGGAGGTGCTCGTACTGGAGGTACTGGAGCTGCTGGGACTGGGGGTGCTGCTGGGGCTGCTGGAGTTGGTCCTGCTGGAGGTACTGCTGGAGCTGCCGGCGGTACTGGAGTTGCTGGTCCTGCTGGCGTTGGTGCTGCTGGAGCTGCTGGAGCTGCTAGAGCTGGAGCTGCTGGGGGTGTTGGCGCTGGTGGTTCTGCTGGCGCTGGTGCTTCTGAGGGTGCTGGAGTTGGCGCTGTTGGAGCTGGAGGTGCTGCTAGCGCTGGTGCTGCCGCTGGGGGTACTGGTGCTGTCCCTGCTGGTTCTGGAGGCGCTGCGCGGCCGAGGCCGTACTTCGTTCCGCTCCTTGAGCAGGTTCTTGGTCTCCCGCCCTCTTCTGGTCCTGCTCCTCCCTTAGAGTGTCCACAGCCTGTCCAGTCGCGGTCACAGTTACAGCCCGCCTCCCCCCTACCTGCTCCTTCTCCCTACACTGGTCCTACTGTCTCGTGCCTACTTGGCCTCACTTGCTCACTTCTTGACCTTGCTTGTACTGTGATCTTTCTATACCTGCACTTGCCTGTTTACCGTTATATATGATCTTGCATGTGAACTGGCCTTTTGGCCTTGCTCTTGTGCTCAGATTGTGTGGTGACGTTGTGATCCACCCTGAGCTTGCTTTGCTTTGCTTGACTGGTCTTGTGACCTCTTGTTCTCCCCCACTTTGCCTATGGGGGTGTGTCAAACTTATATGCTATAGTCTGTGTAGGCTGTAGTGGGGTAGACTATATGGGGTACAACATTTCTAGGTTTTCCTACTTGTACCCACCTGATTGCTAGTTCATTCATTCCTCACTCTTCACACTTCGCTGCCGAGTGGCTGCTGTGGGATCTCCCATGTCTGCATTAGCACCCAAAACTCGGAGAATTGAGGACATATCAAACCACCACACGACATTCTAATGACACAGCTGGCGTGCAGTTACCTGTAGTATACGCCACTCAATCGCTTTAACGTGACCCAGACTGTCTTGTTCACAGACTCCGGTCTTCACACGATGGATCTCTTTAGCCACCATCCTGTACATACAACGCGTGTATGGTCAGTGCCTCCGCCATTAACAAATTCGGATATGGATATCATGAGTCCCCAAAACGATGATTATACCGCTCGATCACGTCCCATTCGGTGCCCATCTCGCAGTGCGTTCCGGCCGAGTCATAATGATAGAACTTTGGCTGGTATTCAGGGGAATGATGCAAACTCTCCGTCAGAAGGTGTCTTGCGTTTGCGACCACAACAAGGCTGAAATGAAACCTGCGCATGAAAACTTCAAACACTCATCAGAAAGACTTGGTGGCTTAGTGAGCTACATGCATGTTTATTGTTGTTTGTCAAACTCACCTTCCAGTGACAACAATCGCGACATAGTCGAAGTCCAGAAACGACCGTTTAGCTGGGCAGCAGGCAATGAGTTTACCATGCCTCGACATGTAATCGAAAGCCTTGGAGTCGAGTGCGATCCATGTGTGACCGTTTCTAAGCTTCGGGTAGCGTATGTCGAGCAAACTGGATGGCACGGAATGGAGTTGTTATATTCATAAGGTATTAGGAAATGCACACAAGTGAATGACCATACTTTACGTACATGTTGTGCACATCGATGATGTTGTCGTTAACTGCGAGGTATGACGTTATGCGATTAATGTCCGCCCATGAGATCGTAATACCAAATGAATGCCAATTGTAGATAGTGCTCGATATCCTCTCTTCAGCTGCCACGTAGTGATAGTGGTTCGCATTCTCTCTCCCGTACCGCACGTCGCTGTGGACAGCTACGGTTGGGTCACAGCAGTCGTTAATATTACTAGTAGTTGGGCCTAGTCCAGCGGTGCCGTAAACTGTAGTGGTCATGATGTCGGCGACACTAAGCTCGTGTTTGGGCTCTGGGTGAAGACTATGAGTATTATTCGTGTTGGAGCTCGTGGTGCTATTTTGAAGCCTTTTAAGTATGGTGTTGGAGTGTTCTTGTGGCTGTAGTCTTAGGCACGCCGTGATCGATATGTTCCGGTCGTGAATGTGCTCCCACGCTTTTCCGGTCGTGAAGGTATAACGTGGACCAAACTGCCACAATGTTGCGTGCGTGAATTCTGCGGTTTGAGCATGTACGTGCCGTGCCAGTTTGGGTTTGGGCCAATGGTTGTCTGGTTTGTTCGGCACCCAGGATTGTGTTGACTGTTCGATCGTGATCGCCGTCAAGTTCCGAGACTTCAGATTCGATGTGCTCATTCACGCCTCACGTTGGCTTTGACGATTGGCCACCTCTGGATCAAAGTTCATGATGTTAAAAAACACGCTGCGCTATCAGGTTCCTAACATCGATCATAAACGCAAAGCACGCGCGCTACACAGCAGGGCAGCACACGGTTTTTTACAGCTAAAAAACTCGGATACGAAGCTTTCAACGAAACCGCAATACTGGCGCGTGTTTTAAGAAATATATGAACTTCATAAAGTCAGCGACGCCCACCGATCACAACTGTAGCATACTATGCTTTCAATGAACGTCCTAAACTTTCACGGCCTCTAGATTGATAACCGTAACACAAAATAGCATGCGTGCAGAAAAACTTGGTAAACAGGGTGGAACCAGACTCATGGTACTAGCTGCAGCACTAAGTTGTTAGTCATGTGCCCTTCACACACGCACACACGCAAATGGAGGGGCATTAGTTTTTATTAAACATGGTTGTTTCGAAAGGCAAAACGAGTATAAAGTACCTCAGTTGTAGTGCTGATTGTCGTCCGTGTACTGCTAGTGCCCACCCTGGGCACCAGACAGGCCCATGCCCGGCGGTTGAGTGGCCTGGCTGCTGCTCGGAGCTGCTTGCTGCCTTGGAGGCAGCATCGTTGGAGCGTGAGGTACCTGCAGAAGAGTCGCCGCCCCAATTTCTGGCATAAGCTGCCGCCATTCGCGCCACCTTTGCCAGAGTCCAGCCCCAGCTAGGATCTCCACATGTTTCCGGGTGAACCCGGTTAGCAACTGCTGCTCGGACGGTGTGAGATCAATACTTCGCTGGATGCGACACCCCGCCGGCCTAACCACCAGAGCTGCAGCCTTGTATCCCTTTGCTTCCTCCTCCTCGCTCGGGAACGGCCCCATGCGGATATGATTGTACGGGGTGGGCATCAGAAGCTTTGCATGCCATGCATCTCCGCCGCCTGTAACGCCCGTGTATTTATACTTAACCCTCCCCTGGGTTAAGGCGTCGGAAGCTGCTCCGGCGCCTACTGCTTCGACTCCAGAGTCGCGCGGCCAATCCACGCCGCTTTCACCCGCGCCACTCATACTCGGGAATGCGGGAGGTGGGTATGACTGCTGCGGGGGGGGTGCGTGCTGCGGTGGAGCTCCCGGCCAGTAGTACGGCATCCCGGGTGGTGGCGGATATTGCGGCAAGGGAGAGTATCCTTGATGGAATATGGGCGCTGGTGGGCGTGGAGGAGCTTGGATAGGAGCGACTGGACGCTGCGGCGCGGGTGGTCGAGATGCCGCATGCGGAAAGTACACCGCGTCCCGTGCTGGTGGCACGCTCGGCTGCTGCGCAGTTGCATGAGCGGGGGCTGTAGATGGCGATGCGGGGGCGTATTGGCCTTCGCGCGACGCTGCCACGTTCTGCTGCTGCGGCGCTGCTTCTTGGTTGGCCCCAAGCCGCGAGGCAACCCGAAAACCTGCAAGGGGGGAGGCCGCGGTGTCGTTGAGACCAGGATCTGGGCAAGAATCCACCCGCTTGGAGGGCGAACCGGCGTCTGGCTGTCCCGGGGCGCCCACAATGCCCTCCTTGTTTGCCGCCGCCCGGCCCTTCTCGAGCGCTGCCACACGCTCGCTCAGCTGCAGGCTCAAGTTGTCGTACTTGGCCAGGAGATCTGTGTAATCGGCGCGCAGAGCCGCGACCTCCTTTTTTATGAGCTGCACTTCGGAGCTCGTCTCCCGGACCACACCGCTCATCTCCGACACTTCGGCACTTACAGGTACGGGGCACCTGGCCGTGAGCTTCTGTGGTGGAAGCTCGATTCCCGCTGTCTGAAGTGCAGACAGCAGATTCCCAGAGATATGGGCGCACATGTCTGCCCGCCAGTCGCGGCGATAACGGGCAGGAGAGGTCGTGAAGGCGATCGGGCCACCAAGGCGCTGGAAGGCGGTGGTAACATGGGTATGAAGGTACATGCCAGCGTAGATGCCACAGTCCAGGCTCTTCTCGGGCTGCCGCGGGATCTCCCAGGTCAGCTGTCAACATAATACGCGTAATAAGTGGAGCAGGAATATTAGTACGGCTCTCACAAGAATGAATAACTGGGGCTTTTCACATGGTAATTAACAGTCTTACATCAAGAGCTCGATATGGCAAGGAGCCGATCCGAGACTCGACCTCAGATCGTGCCAATTCCGGAAAGACACGATTCAGCTCCAATGCAAGGATACTGCCGGAAAAACACAGGAGAGTTTGGTTAGATTGTTAGTGACAAGAATACCGCGAGTGCACGCAAATCGCATGCTTACTATCGAACATTCGTGACGACGGCGGTGTTGCCGGCGTGGTGTCCTGTTGAGTCGTACAGCCATAGCCGTGGCGGTGGTGGTGCGTCCCCACCGTCGGACGGTGCGACAAGCGTCCTGGCGTTTTCGAGGACAAACAGGCTGAAATGGAACCTGGAAATCACAAGACACGGATGTTAGAAGTGAATTACCGTAGTGACTCAACGCAGGTAACCGCAAAACGTACTCAGCCGCTGCAAAAATAGCAACATAGTCGACGCGCAAGAAGGTGTCCTTGTCTTCGCAGCAAGCGATAAGCTTCTTCTGAGTCGCCATGTAGTCATAAGCCTTAACGTCGAGGGCGATCCAGGTTTTCCCGTTCTCCAGTCTCGGATGGCGAATGTCGAGGACACTGCGCACGTAGAATAACGGTGTACAGAGAGGGTAGGACGGAGGGAGGGTTTTTTTTATTATGCAACAGTCGAAGTTGTTAAAGCGGAACCGGTAGTAACATGGCAACCATGGTAATCTTTTATCCTTGTACTTACATGTTGTGGAAGTCCAACGCGGTGTCGGTGATTGGTGCCGCATCCTGGATGTGGAGTGCGTCGGCCACGTTCAACGATGTGCCGAACCCATGCCAATTCGAAATTAACTTGGTGGGCCAGTTTCCACTCTTCACCGATGGTTCTTTCTTTGGTGAACACGACGCGTTTATGCCCGGGAGCTGCTTGGTGCTCCGGGCCATATCGGCTATGAGATCCTGTGCCGGGGGTAACGCATTCCGGGGTGGAGGCAGAGGAGCGAACGAGTATGGTTCGTCTGTGACTCTAGAACGGTGCGACCGTGTGGACGGGCCACTAGGGTGATGCTGTTCTGCAACCGTCGTCCGTGCTCGTTTACTCTGCTATCCGCCCCTACTACGCGTACGGGTGCGGGCACCAAGGCCCTTTGCAGCATCTTCAACGCCGGCCTCTACGTGCTCAGATTGAGCATCTACCTCGACGAGTTCTTCGTCGTCATCGTCTCCGAGATTAACGGGGTCGTCCGGCCTGCCCGTAGGCATTGGGCTTGATGGAATATGAGTGTGCTATGGATTTGTAGGAAGCTGACAGAAAGAGAACTGGTGGAGGATTCGCAGCTCCTTAGAATGCTAATAAGCGAGAGCATAAGTTTTAGGCGTTTGTTAGTGGAAGGGACAGGTGAAGCGCCGAATAGCTAAGCTACGGAGCTCGGACAATCAATATAGGGTGATGAGCAAGGACCCCTAACGTGAAGAGTTGGATAATTTGTTCGGCACTGAACACGGGACGCTCCGATTGGCTGGAGTTCGCGCTACGAATATATGTGAATGATAGCCATGAGGTGACAGCTAAGCCGACGTGGCTTGATAACGTTGGGCACTACATGCGTTGTGTTTGCGTACCCTCGTTCGTGCATGATTACGTTGTGGTGTTTAGACGATCGTAGAGATGAAAATGTATTTACGTGGACATTCACCCAGTCTACACGGCGGGAGCACATTGGTACGGGCGGTCGCCAGCCGATCTCGTGCAAGCCAATTGGCATGCACTCTATTTGTCGATAAGAATCAGCAGGGATGTGCTGCGTTGTATGCTCCTCGTTGGTCAATGCACGCGTCTAGTTAATGAGCAAGTGTATGTTGCTCAATGCACGAAAACTTGTCCAGCGTTGTGCACGAAACGGCGGGCGCCTGTTGGTACAAATGTTGCGTGGTTGGAAACGAAGAGATCCAATGAACATTATCGCGGAGATCACCGCCTTATACCTGCCTGCCATTTGTACCACATTTGTCTTTTCAGCTGACGCGGAAACGTAAAACACGAAGGTCGGACCACGTGTACACACATTTGGTGCATGGTTTGTCATCCTGTGTGGCGCTCGGTTGGCAACTACGTTCACGCTTGTGGATAATAAGCGTGAACAATTTTGAAGTGTTGGAGTCACCCCGTTGGTCGTTGCTCGCTCGGCGCCACATACAGCAATCGCATGGAATCAAATGTTCATTCACTTCCCTGAAATGGCAATTGGCTATTGGTGCGTGTTTGATAACGTGTAATGACAACATCTCTCGTGTCAATGTGTAAACTAGCCGTGTACCTGCCTGCCATTTGGCGCATGAATGACAGATCCCCCGCCATGTATTGGCTTATGCTCGCGCTGCGACGCTCAAAAGAGCGTCAGTACAGAGTCCCGGGAGGTTTACAAGTGCAGTTACCTGACTGCCATTTGGCGCTCAAATGTTGTCGGTGATAAAACGCTCATGGCTAGGTTCGAGCCAAACCTTTCCACGTAGGTTTGGGCTCCCTCGGAAATTGAGGTCTGGTTCCACGAATACTGGAGGCGACCGTGTGAAATCCTGGCAACATTTTCGAGGTGACCGTACACTAATAGCTACACTCAGTTTTCCGATACGAATTGTCGGGAGCGCGGGAAGCGCGGGACAGAAGGTGGAGCGCGTGTCTTTTGGGTTGTGGAAAAATTTGAGCGCGATGAAAAAAATTCACGAGGGCAAAGCCCGCGCCGCGGCAATTCTCTCGGAAATACTGCCGCGATGTGCAAGGTTCAAGTATTTCTGCATGCTTCCGAGGACAATCCAAAATTTTCCGCTAAGAACTGTCTCAGTCTGCACTTTCAACCCACGACTTCACTAGTAACAATACTTTCCGTATCACCGCACACAGTAGTAATCACATAACTTCACCGGTTAAGAAAGTATTCATGTTAAAATAGAGTTGGTATTCTGTGGAACAAAGTGCGATTCTGCTATCGAACCATCTACCAAGAATACGGGCTTCAGATTCGGCATGTGTTTTGAACGAAGTGCTGATTCTGACTCTGAGGTTACTGGTAGAACAAAAATAAATTGGCCTGTCTCCTGTTGCCACGTGTGGTGGTGACATTTCGCCTAAGCTTGTGGTTCGTCTTCAACCGTGCACAACTCAAAAGTATCTCGCAAAGTTCCCCCCAGACCAGACCAGAGCACGAATACTCTCCCCCTCCAAGCGTCATCGCATTGCACCGACCAACAACACTGATGAGCCGCATGACCCATGCTCAAGATAAATTTCCAATGATTTACAGCATACGCTTCCAGAGTTACCGTACCACATCATACACTTCCAGGATTACAACAGAACACACCCACAGGGTTACCACAGCACACACCCACAAGGTTACCACAGCACACACTTCCAGAGTTACCACAGCATACACTTCCTAGATGACCACAGCCTGGGATCAATTACCTAGTAGCAAAGCTCCTCCATCTCGCAAAGCATAATGCTCTCTTCTCTCACCTAAAGTCATCCCTTCTTCCGCACCCCCACTCACCTCGCACCCTGCTCCCTCACTCCCCCACTCCTCCCCCGAACACCTTACCCCATGCGAGCAGTGCCTTGGCTGCTCCATCTCGCTTTGCCTCCGCCACTGTCGGCCCCATGCCCGTGCCCATCCTCCTCCCTGCTGCATACACTCGCACCCTCTCTGTCACGTGGGGCGTGTGTGTGTGTTGCCTGTCCCTATGTGGCTGCTTGCCATAAGCAAAGGGCGTTCACATGGTGACGGGTGGAGGGGGAAAGAGGGTGTGGAGGCAAGGTATGGACAGGAAAAATAGGTGAGGGGGCGCGATAGGTAAGGGAAAAGGTTGTATGGGGGGATAAGGGGATTAGTGACTAAGATGCCAGCATCCGCCAAGAAGATGGCCTGCCACTTCAGCCAGCGCTGGTCAGTGGCCCTCCAGCGCTCCCAGGCGAACGCCCTGCACACCAAGGCCAGGGCTGGGATTGAGGCAGCGCACCCCCAGATGGCAGCGGACCCATGGCCGCTGCACCTAGGGGACATCCTCCACACGTTGGAGGGCTAGAGGGTCACTCAGGGGGGGGGGGAGGAAGAGGGGTGAGTTAATGGGCTTAAGGGATTGAGGTTATAATGGATAGAACTGCATGTTTGTACCCCTGCAGAATTAATACAACGGACCGTTTGAGGGAAGGGGTCGGATAGAGAACGAACGAGCATTCTCAAGCAGAGAAATCCCATGCAAGTGCCCTTTCTTCTCCCCTCCCAGTGGAGTGGAGCCTGTAGCACGGTGAAGCCTATAAATCTTGATGATGTTTCCACTCATACGCACTGGTACTGTGGGACGAGCCCCAAGTGCCGGAGAGTCAGCTCCTGCAGGCAAGCCACGGGGTCATATTGCTCTGAAGAATCCATTCTCCTTGAAATCACTTTTGAGAATTCTCAAAAGTGATTTCAGGCAAGCCACGGGGTCATACTGCTCTGAAGAATCCATTCTCCTTGCTCCTGCAGCATCGCCCCCCCTCACATCGCCCATCCTCTCGTCGCCCACCACCCTCACATCGCTCCCACAGTCCTGCTGGAAATGCTGCAGCCGCTGCCGGTGCTCATGCCCAGGTTCTTGCTCATACTGCTGCCCAAACTCCAAGTTCTGTGTGTGTGGAGCAACAGTGCGCGAGTCGACTAGTGAGGGCAGCAGGCGTGTCACAAAGGCTGCCGCTGCTTCCAGGCCCTAATGGGGGGGGCAGGGGATTGTTAACGGGATGGGGTAGGGAATTGTTACGGGGATGGTGACGGGGATGGGGATGGGGAGGGTGACAGGGAGGGGGGGATGGGGACGGGGAGAAAGGACAGGGAAGGGGAAGGGGACAAGGGGGAGGGGACGGGACAGGGGGAAGGGGACAGGGAAGGGGAAGAGGATGAGGAGGCGAAAGTAGACGGGGAGGGGGAAGGGGACGAGGAGGGGGAAGGGGGACGGGGGGGGGAAAGCGAATGGGGCCGGGAAGGTCAGGGAGGGAAAAGGGAACGGGGAGAGGGAACGGAATGGGGACGGGGAAGGGAATGGGGAGAGGGAAGGGAACAAGGAGCGGGGAGAGAAAGGGTAGGGGGAAGGGGGTTGGATAAGGATGGAGACGAGATGGAACGGGAGGGCATGTGCGCAGAGAGGACGGAGTGAGTGTGGACGTAGCTACACTAATGGTCCAAAGACAGTGAGTTGGGGGTTGTGGGTGGTGTAGGAGAGGGGCTTTACTGATGGACAATGAAACACCCGACCGCACTATCAACACTATCAGAAGAGGTGATAAGCAAGCGGAGCTGCCAGCCTTGAGGAGCTCTTGCTGTGAGGTTGGTGTGAGGATGGTTTGGGGGTTGTGTGAGAAGCACTGACCTTTTCCGCGTATACTGCACCAACAAGAGCCTTCATAGTACAGGCAACTAACGAAGGCTGCAGTAACGGGTATAAAAAGGGACCACGCACAGGAACAATGCAGAAAGACAGTCCAAAGCGTGAATAAGCAGATTTGCTATCAGGCACTTTTGCTTAATTGGATCTCTTGAAAACGTCTGTTTCATCACACACTCTATCACCACCACAGAGAAATGTAATGTAACACCATACGAAACCAGTCAGTCCCCTCTCCAGGTAAGATCTCGTCAGACACGACATGGTGCGATCATACAATAACATCCATGGTAACATGATGTGATAACACCAGATGGACTCATCACATGCCCAGCTTACACCACACCACACCCACGCCCACACACTGCGTGTGATGAGTCGATTTTTAAGTCGACTTAAAAATCCACCCACGCCCACACACTTCCCCATCCCCACCCTCAGCCACACTCCGCACTATACCTCCACTTGACCACCCCCAACGGGCACGGCACACTTGCCCTGCATGAGCAACATGTCTGAGAAGCTCA